CAGCCGATTCTGTACCCATTCACTTTCATCCAGCTCAACATCCCTCATGATCCTAAGAGAAGGAATCTTGACTTCTACCGGCAATACTGCTTCCATGCCGTAAACCAATGAAAATGGGGTTGCCCCAGTCGAAGTATGCACAGTGGTGCGATAACCATGCAAAGCGAAAGGCAACATCTCATGCCAATATTTATAGGTTACCACCATCTTCTGTACGATCTTCTTGATATTCTTATTGGTCGCTTCGACAACACCGTTCATCTTTGGTCGGTAAGGGGAATAGTTATGATGCTTGATTTTGAAGGACTCACAAAGCTCCTTCATCATTTTGTTGTTCAAATTAGACCCGTTGTCGGTAATGATCTTTTCAGGCACTCCATAGTGACAGATAATATTGTGCTTAATGAACTGAGTAACCACCTGCTTGGTGACATTGGCATAGGATGCAACTTTGGCCCATTTTGTAAAATAATCGATGGCAAGCAGAACGTAACGGTGCATGTTGGATGCAGTCGGTTCAATTTTGATGATCATATCAATTCCCCATATCACAAACGGCCAAGGGGAAGTCAAGACATTCAAAGGTACTGGCAGCACATGCACCTTGTCAGCATAGACTTGACATTTGTGGCAAACCCGTGCATGATTGTAACAGTCAGTCTCCATGGTGGACCAATAATAACCTACTCGCAAAATCTTTTTGGCCATGGTATGCCCACTGGAATGGGTCCCGAAATCACCTTCATGTATCTCCTCAATGATTCTAGCTGCTTCTTTCTTGTCAACACATCTGAGCAGTAAACCGTCATGATGCCTTCTATACAACACACCGCCACTGAGAATGAACTTGGCTGAAAATCTTCTCAAGAACTTCTTATCTGTGACGAATGCCTCTTCAGAGTACTCTTGAGTTTCAAGATATCGTTTAACATCATAAAACCAAGGATTACCATCTGATTCCAAACTAGCCTCAAAACAGAAAGCTGTCTCACTCAAACTTATGATGGTAATGGAAGGTGCCTCATTAGCCCACTTAACCTTGAACATGGAGGACAAAGTTTCCAGTGCATCAGCTAGATTGTTTTCTTCTCTTAGAATGTGCTCAAACGTGATCTCTTCGAAGTACGGAATCAGCTTCATAACATGCTCACGATAGGGAATTACGTTCTGATGGCGAGTCTCCCAATCTCCATTAATCTGGCTGATAACAAGATTGGAATCCCCGTAAACTTTCAAAAATTTGATGCGCAGGTCGATCGCCGCCTCAATACCATAAATGCAAGCCTCATATTCGGCCATGTTGTTAGTGAAATCAAAGCAAATACGAGCCATGAAAGGAATGTGGTATCCCTCAGGGGAAGTGATAATAGCTCCGACGCTGTTGCCCATGGCATTGGAGGCGCCATCAAAAAAAAGCGTCCAACGTGATCCCAGCTCGGGTCCTTCGTCTGGGTCTGGCATGTTACAATCCCGAATATACATAATTTCTTCATCTGGAAAATCAAACTTCATTGGTTCATAATCGTTCATGGGCTGATGAGCAAGATGGTCGGCCAATACACTACCCTTAATTACTTTTTGAGTGGTATATTGGATATCATATTCGGTGAGTATCATCTGCCAACGGGCTACCCTGCCTGTAAGAGTTGGCTTCTCAAAAATGTACTTGATTGGATCCATTTTGGATATCAAGTAGGTGGTGTGAGTTAACATGTATTGCCTCAAACGTTTGGTGGCCCAGGCAAGCACACAACAAGTCTTTTCCAGCAATGAGTACCTCGACTCGCATTCCGTAAACTTCTTACTCAAGTAATAAATAGCCTGTTCTTTCTTCCCTATCTCGTCATGCTGACCGAGGACACAACCCATTGAGCTCTCCAACACAGTTAGATACATGATTAGTGGTCTTCCTTCCACTGGCGGCATGAGTATCAGAGGTTCCTGCAAATACTCCTTTATTTTGTTAAAGGCCTTCTGACAATCCTCATTCCATTTCACTGTCTGACTTTTCTTCAACAACTTAAACAAAGGTTCATAGGTGCTGTGAGATGAGAAAATAAATCTAGAAATGTAGTTTAACCTTCCCAAGAAACCACATACTTCCTTCTCTATCCTTGGTTCAGGCATTTCCTGTATCGCTTTTACCTTGGTCGGGTCCACCTCGATACCTTTTTCACTTACAATCAAACCCAACAGCTTGCTGGATCTCACCCTGAAGGTGCACTTATTCGGATTCAACCTTAGCAAGAACTGCCTCAGTCTCTCGAACAACTTTTCCAGATGAACAAGATGTTCCTCTTTCGTGTCAGACTTAGCAATCATATCGTCCACATAAACCTCAATCTCCTTGTGAATCAAATCATGAAGAGAGAGTGACCATGGCGCGCTGATATGTTGCCCCGACATTTTTCAAACCAAACGGCATCACTTTATAGCAAAAGGTTCCCCAAGGCGTGATAAATGTTGTCTTCTCCATATCCTCCGGAGCCATCTTAATTTTATTGTAACCCGAAAAACCATCCATGAACAAAAACACTTTGGAATAAGCAGTATTATCGACCAACACATCAATATGCGGAAGAGGGAAATCATCTTTGGGGCTGGCCCTGTTCAAATCCCTATAGTCCATGCACATCCTGACCTTACCATCCTTCTTGGGCACAGGCACAATATTTGCAATCCACGGCGGATAATTGATGACCTTTAAGAAATTCGCGTCCAACTTCTTCTGGACTTCCTCTTTGATCTTCTTGGACATCTCAGGATGAGTTCTTCGGAGTTTTTGCTTGACAGGAGAACAACCTTCTTTGAGCGGTAGTCGATGCACCACTATGTCTGTATCCAACCCAGACATATCCTTATAAGACCAAGCTAAGATATCAGAATACCCACGGAGTAGCTCAATCAATCTGGCCTTTACACTTTCTTCGAGATCTGTCCATATCTTGACTTCTCTTCTTACCTCTTCTGTGCCAATATTCACCACCTCAATCGAATCCTGATCCATGAAAATGTTTGAGATACATACATAACTAAAGTCTATGACATGAGAGACTTTTAGATGGTCAAGCCAGGCGCCTCCTATCCAAAGTACTCTGCACGTGCTTAAGACTCGTGACATATTTATACAAATCACATTTATTAGGTGTTTTTGAATTTCCTTAAGAAAGACTTTTTGTTTTAAGATGGATGCAAAGAAAGAAAATCTAGGGGGAACTAGAGCCATAATGTTAGCATGCAATGTGGACCTAAAGTTGAGATTGAAAATGAGCAATCCTATCCTAGAATTATCATGCTTGGATTAAATCTTACGGTCTAACTCGACATAAAACAACCAAACGGAGTTCAATCGCCCAATGGAGTTTTCCTAAAGGGATCATGGCAATATCACACAAACAATTATTCAAACTAAAATAAATCTATTCTGTTATTTTTCATTTTATCATGTGAAGAAAAATAAAATCTAAAAGAAAACAATTAGAAAACAATCAACAAACAATTATCAAAAAGGAAAAATAAAGTGCAATAAGGCACGGGGTGCAACCAGATCCAGGGTGTGCAGCAGTAAAGCCTGGCGCTGGGCCCATCAAACAAGTCCATAAGCAGTTTTTTGTAACAATCAGGCTGCAAAAACTAGTGGCATGGGTCTACGTGGGGGTATAACGCAGCAATTACATCTCAGGCCCAGTCCACTCCACTATTATCCACCAGATTTTTGTTTCATCATCAAGTTTCAGAAAGAAAGAAAAAAATGGTAAAGGGCTTGAGGAAGTGTATGGCCCGGTCCAAACAATCACCAGATTTTTGTTTCATCATAAAACTAAAACTGTTATTATTAATTGATTTATGAAAATAAAAAAATAAAAAAAAGAAAAAAGAAAATTTGAAGAACAGTTAAACGGTGCGCTTTAGGAAAGATTAGGGTAAAGTATATGTGGCTCTTCATCTTCCACGAAACTGACTTCCTCCCTTCTCTCTCGAAAATCTCCACCGGCCGGAAATCGCTTTTGACGGTGGAACAACCCTAAGCTTCTTACCTATCGGAGACGCTCTGATGGCACTTCAACTGCGACGATAACAGAACCAGAAACCCAAGCTGCACACTCCACAAGTATTCGTTTATTTCACTCTTGATTCCGTGAAATCTAAATTCTTCTTCTTCTTCTTTCTCTGAAATCCTACTAGGCGGTAGGTGTTGTGTTGTTATTGCTCGTTGTTGCTCTTTTCTGTTTGAAAATTTTGCGCGTTGTTGTTGTTGAGTTTGCGCGTGAGAGCTCAAGAATGATGAGAGCGTTGTTGCGTTCTTGTCGCTGAGATTGTGAGGTTGGAGGTGATGGTTGATGAGGGTGATGAAGATTGTAGAATTTCTGTGAGGAAGGTGACGGGCGAATTGAGGGAATCGGTTCAGATGGAGAGAGTCTGAAAAATGGTGGTTATGGTGGAGATGGCGAAAGGCCGTGGAAATGAAGTGAAGGTGAATGTTAAAGAAGGAGAAGAATGGAGATGAGAGTGAAATTAAGAGTGATGAGGAAGAAGATGAGAGATTGAGGTGAAGATTGAAACTGAGAAAAGAAAAATGGTTGTGACTTGAATGAAGGTGAGGGAGCAGTTATATAGTTGAATGAGATTGAGATTCAGTTATGGGAGAAGGAGCTCTAGCCATTGGATTGGTGAGATTATGTTAGAGAGTGGAGGGTCAAGATGGATTCAGTTAGAAGGTAGTTGTGATTCTGTTAGTTATCTGTTAACTTGCAGTTAGAAGGTATAACTCTGTTAGTAGTAGTGTTGTTAGTTGATTTTTCTTTTTGATAGGTACTTGGATTTGTATTGATGTATATGTACATTTATGTATAAATGCAACTGTGTGTATGTATAGGACTTTAACTATGGGTACATTATTTGGATGGTGGTAGCATTTAATGTGTAATGGTATGATAATTGATGCTTGGTCTGGTTTTGTCCTATTTGGGAACAAATACAGGGCTGTTGTGATCTGAACATTAGCGTGTGTGCGTATATGATGCAGGTAGTGTGTTTGGTATGTAACATGGCTTGTGGATGTATGGTATGAACACTACTGTGCTTGATAATTTGTGCTTTATTTTTGGAATGTTATAAGGATGTTTAGATTGCAGAATGGTTTGGCTTGTTGAATGAAACTTTGTGTTGAATTTTTGTAGGTTTTTTTGATGGCATGGCATGGAGCATGACTCAAAGATGGGACCGAAGACTTGGAAAGGGAATTGCAAGGTTGTCTCAAAAGAGCTTTGGAACAGAAGATGAAGATTATGTTTTAGGCTTAGAAACAAGATTTTTAAGTAGTTTTGATGTATGTGAAATGGTATAGTTGGATAGAAAATGTAGTGTAAATTGTAGTGATGTTATGGTACTTTGTAATGGCTTTGTAATATTGAAAATAAACATGAACGATACTTGAACGGTTTATGAAGCCGAGTTTGGTTAAGCCTGAATATTATTTGAATAAAATTTTTTAATGGTGTATGAAACTTGAAACTTTGCCCTTTGTAATTGTAACTTGTACTCCAAGGATTCCAAGGAATCTTCTTCCCACTTTGTATGCTTAACATCCTAAGAACAATGATCCTTTGGACATTTTGAACAAAACTTGAATTTATGGAATCATTTGAATCACCTTCAAATCCACATCAACTTGCATATTCAATTCTCCAAATTCAAATCAAGTATTAACAACGGCTTGCTCACAACATCATCTTTATACCACGACTCATACTTTGCAATTCCATCCACAATTTCCTCATCTAATCGTTTCTTACTTGATGATCTTAGAATAAAATCCATGTTGATAACGCAATTGCCTTTACATTTCAAATAAATGAGATAACGCAATTGATAAGGAAGTAAGACTTGCAAGTATAAGGCCATCGATTCGAATCTCACTTGCTCTATTTTTTAACATTTTTCTTTTATTTGTTATTAACTTTATTTTTATTTTTCAGAAACAAAAAAAATATTATTTTCTATTATTTAATTATTATTTTCGTTTTTTATTTAGGGACATTTTAAAAAATTAGTTTTTATTTTTAAATCATTATTTTATGCACTAAAATAGCCAAAATTTCAAAAATAAATAAAATCCTTTTGAAATCAATTTCTTTTAAGTCAAATCTTGCACTAGGTCACAAAATCATCCAGATTCATAATTTTGCTCACCAAGAATTGAATCAATCTCAATCAATTTTCAATCTTCAAAATCATACTAAAATAGATCAATTTTATTTAATTATTGACCTAATTCTCATCTATAAATAGTCTTATATTTTCACAATTTTAGGGATCCACAAATTACACGATCCACAATTTTACAATTTCTTACATACTTTATTCTCAAACATATTCTCACTATTTTTTCAAAGTTTCTTTTCAAAAACTATCCGTAATTTTTTTTAAATATTTTAGCCGATGATTAAAACTTCAATATAATACCTCTTTTTTATTTTTTATTTTATCTTTGTTCTTATTTTTAAATTATTTTCAACCGTATAATAATAATTATCAAATGATTCTTTTCAAATCGCCAACATTTACAAATTCTACGATTCACTTACACAATTTTAAACTTTCTCGATATCTAATGGTTGTGTTTTTATTTATCTTTTTACACTAACAATTTTCACTTATTTCGATATTACTTTCCAATTTCTAACACTTATTTTTATACTATTTTAAACCTTCGTGCATCTCTGCTCCCCTGAACAGATCCTCCAATCTGACACACTTGCGATGGCGACACCAACGACCACGTCACTGCCGCTGTGAAATTTCCAAACGCAGCGCCACAACGAGACGAAACCGCCGTCACCAGCACACTCTCCAGATAGGAGCCACTCAAAACTCCATCACCGCACTGCACAACTCAGGCCGCGAACCACCATGGTTACGCAAACCACCGCCACCACCTTTGACAGGTAATACTCTGTTTTGATTTTCATATTTTTTGTTTAAGTTTCGAATCTGAGTTTGCAAAATAATTTGGTGGGTTGTCTGTATCAAGAGAGAGGATGTTGTTTACTTTATTGAGAAAGAGAAACACAGTGAGTAAAAAAAAGAAATGGAAATTTTGCTCCCTCTCTCTATCACGAGCGTGTATATCTTTACCCTTTTCGTTTTTATTTTAATTATTTATTTTTCTTCTGGCCTGCCACGTGGTATGCCCTGATAGGCCGAAGGTGGATGTCTCATATGGAGATCGACGGACCTCCTGTTACAATATTAGAGTTCTTTTTTTATTTTGTTTGTTGTGTGGGTTTGCTTTGGACTAGGTCCAAGTTTGAATCTATTGCCACACCTTTTTATTACTAAGTAAATAACTTGCACCCCCAACCCATTAATTGTTATTGATTTAATCATTTAATTTCTTATTAACTAATTTAATTAATTTTAATCTTAATTTTAATTAACTAGTTTTTCAACTTTGAGCATATAATTCTTCTAATCCCATAAAAAAATAGAAAGAAAAATACTAATTTTACTTTAGCTAATTTATTTTAGTTCATTGTTATTTAAGTAATCAAAAGATCAAGAAACATTTACTTGTAAATACAATTGTAACCTTGTATATTCGTCATATATTCGTCATATATATATATAATTGTAATCTTGTATATTAATTTTAATAATTTTAAGAATAATAGGACTTTGAGTAATTAAGTAATTGGCTACTGATTCATCATTTAAATCAAAATCTTTAAAATTGACAAATAAATCAAATCAATTTTTCTTCGTCTAGCGCGATTAAATTCTAATCAAGATAAATTTTTCTTCAAAATTCAAACTTAACAAAACTTAAAACAGCTAACCAACAAAAAAATCTTTTTCTACTAATATAACCAAAACCAAGACTTTTTTCAATAAAAGATTGCTTTGTTACTTTCACAATGAATACCAAACTTTGCCTACCATCACTTAACTTTCAAACTCACGCAGGTTCAAAAATTATTCGAAAGAAACTTAATGCAATCCTACAAAAAAAAAACACTAACCAAACACCTTCGAACTACGTATATCTCTGATTTGTCTCATCCTCCAATGAGAGATACGTAGGCACACAGTTGCGAAATCATGGCGAGTCCATTAATAATTTCTTCACATTCTAACCCTTGCATATATATTTTCCCGTTATAAATAAATAAAGCAGATTAGAAATAAAATAAAGCAAACACACCTAAAAACCCTAAGATTAAAGAAGATTTCCCCTGAGTACAAGGGAGGTGAGATGTGTCTAACACCTTCCCCTCACTTAGTTGACTCCCGAACCTTTAATTTAGTTACAACAACCGCCTTATCCTTATCACTAGGGTTTTCCCATTAAACTCTCTATCTTTAGAATAAATAAATAAATAATGGTGGCGACTTCATTGAATTTTTCCAACCGCAACACAATATCTTTCCCTAACACTATTGATAAATTTCAACTGAGACTCTCCTAAATTCGAGTCCCCTTGCTTTAGCTCAAATAATCTCCCAAATATTTATAAAAAAAATAATTATATGTAGCGAGATTCAAATCACAACTATAGATCAAATACTATCTCCATTTAAGACAAGAAAGTCCTGCAAGAATCGAATATTACAACAAAAATACAAAAGACTTTCTAAGATAAAATTCTGACTTCCAAAAGTAGTGGTTTTAAAAAATGGAGAACCATATCCTTAAATAATAAAGCAATCCAGACAAAAAGCTCACAAGAGTTAGATAAAAAATAACATGAATTCAAAAACAACAATTTGTATCTTCCTAATTAAAATCAATTCCAAATCATATTCAATGAGAATATATGATTTAAATTATTCTTCTTCAAATTGATTTGATTGGAAAAAAAATACTTCATTTAAACTCAATATTTGCATTCTTCTTGATTGGAATAAATAATCTGAAGCGAATCAGCTAGTGCGCACTAGAATTAAAGATCAAGAGAGTTAAGACAACTAACATCTAATTAAGACATTTGGCTTAAGCAATCAAGTTACCTATAAAATTTAGTCAATCAATTATAATAATCAAATTTGATTTATCTATTAAGAATAAAATAGTGGAATACATGTATACTCGCACGAGTATTGATATGATACACGTATTTGTTTTTAAAATATAATAAAAATAAAATAATTTTTTTTAAAAGAAATAAAAAATCAATGCCTATAATTCATTCAATATTTAAATATATATATTCAAATATTTTTAAATATTGAATGAATTATAGACATCGATTTTTTATTTAAATCAATAGTAAAGTTGTTTTCTTATTATTTAATATTTTAATTACTAATTTTATGTTATCATTAATATTTAATAGTTTGATCAATAACTTTATGTTCTCGTTAATATTCAATATTTGATCAATAATTTCATATTCTCCTTAATATTAATAGTTTGATCAATAATTTTATGTTCTCGTTAATATTTAATATTTTTATTAGTAACTTTATGTTGTCTTTAATATTCAATATTTTGATTAATAACTTCATGTTTCCGTTAATATTCAATAGTTTGATTAATAATGACATGTTCTCGTTAATATTTAATATTTGAATTAGTAAATTTATGTTGTCGTTAATATTCAATATTTTGATCAGTAATTTAATATTTCTGTTAATATTTAATATTTTGATTAGTAACTTCATGTTCCCGTTAATATTCAATATTTTTATTAGTAACTTCATGTTTTCGTTAATATTCAATAGTTTGATCAATAACTTCATGTTTCCGTTAATATTTAATATTTTTATTAGTTACTTTATGTTCTTGTTAATAGTCAATTTTTTTATCAATAACTTCATATCAGTACCATATACGCATACCATATTAGTATTTGTATTTTAAAAAAATAATAAATTAGGATTTAATGAACAATATATTTATCCCGTCTATAAAAATAATAAATATTTATTTTTTGTTTAGACATTATTGTCATACCCCAAATTTGTCCGCCCATTTATTTCTACAGTCAAAAAATATTGTTTTTATAATATTATTTGATTTCTATAGATGTTCATTTTTAAGTCCAGTAAAAAATATTTTAAACATTTTTTTATAATATTATTTGATTTTTATAAATATTTGCTTCCAAACCTATTTAAAAATATAATAATTTATTTCAAATTATTTGTATTTTTTAAAATAGCAAATATCTGCATATCTTTCATATACTTTCAAATTGAG